GGGGGGACATTAAAATATCTCAGAACTTTAGAATTTTTAGGGGGCAAATAAATGTATCTGGGAATTTTTAGTTTTTACTACTGCAAGTTTTCAAAATTTAAACAAAAAGTTGATGAAGTTTAGGAATACCACCATTCTGAGCCCGGAGGAACGTCAGTTTGGTTCTACGTGAAGTTGGATCTCATCCTCTCCGTGAAGTATCGGATGTTCTAGTATTTTAATTGAATTCCATTATGTTTTTTGCGGGTTTTCCGACTTTCACTGAGCTCTTCACTTCGTAGAAGATGGGCTGACATTTCGAATATGTATAGAAAATCAGATTAGAGGTGACTGCGGAAGAATTGCACCTTTTCATAAGATGCTGACGATTTTTCATGCGGATTGTAAGTTTCCATAAGATTTCAATTTTTGAATGTTCACGAACCACTGGTTTCAAATCCTTTCACACTTTTTTAAAAAGCGTTTGATTTTGCATTTGCGAGCATATTTTAACTACTGAAATGTGACCCTAACTTGATCCAGGATGAATTTGGACCTGAGATCACAGGTCAGCAAAGGTCACATGATGCAATGCGTCTTACGATATATTGCGCAATGAGCGGGATACCAAATTTTTGCTTTCTCTTGGAATCGGTTGGCTTAAATTGTACCTGAATCCCCAGATCAGGTGCGCAAAAAAAATTATCAGAATTCCAGTTTTTTTTTGTCTGCTCCAAAAATAACCTAAAATTAGGCCAAGGTTCGTAAAAAATATGGAGAGGGAGAAAAGAAAAAATTTGGTCTTTCATAAAAAAATATGGGAAAGGAGAGATCGAAAGCTTTTTAAGTCCATGGTTGTAGTTTCTGGGGAAGATTAAATCGTTAAAATCCCGCATTTTTATGTGTTTTACTTTGAAACGACAACATATTATTTCTTAAAACATCATCGACGATATTTTCGCACACGAAGAAAAAAACGTTCATGTTTTTTCATTTTTTTGCAATTCTTCCATTTCTTTGCAGAATTGTTTTCTCTTCTATCCTGCAACTTCCTGCGAAACTGGAGTGACGAAGAGAACAGCCACGATTTCCTCAATTTTTCACTATAAATTTCCCTGATTTGTCTCCTGGATTGTTTCCATGAAAAGTTCGGCAATTCTGCCAGTACCGGTGAATAACAACAACAATCCAGTGTTGCCGATGAAATCGCCGCGAAAACGGACCGCACGTCGTCGCCTGTTCTCTCCGCCGAATCATCGGCTTTTTGACGAATGGATAACGAAAGAGATTGATGAGATACGTGCGCAGCAGCGGCTCAAATGGGGTTTCCAGTTTGATTCCGAAAATCCATGTGCAGCGAGCAGCCAAAGCGATTACATATTCACTGCTGTTCCCGCAGAATCGGTAAGTTTTCCAGTTTTTACGTTCCGGCTAGCGGTCACATCCTACCGAAAAAAAAGACATTGGCACTGCAACTCGCTACTAATAAGTCTCTGGCTTCCCTTAGCGAGTAGATTTTAGGAATTTTGATTTTGCTTTGCTTTTTCGACGATTATTAAATCATCCTTCGGCTAATTTTTTACTGGGTAATCTCTATCAAAGTTTATTGTTCCATGGAATTGCCTGAATTGATGAGTTCTTCCTAAAACAATTTCCAAGTTTTTTGTTTCGACTCAAGCTTTTAAGATATGCTGTCTTCAGAATTCCCTTCGTAACATATTTTAGTCAGCGAAAATCATCTCTGAGTTTTGCGATTTTACTCGTCCAAATTTTTTGAAATTAAATTATTTTGCTTGTTAGATTTTGTGCTACTTGACTATGATTATTATTATTTTTTCTTTCTTTTTCAGGTCCCTTCTTTCTATCGAACTTCCTTTTATCCACGCGAATCCAGTCCAGCATCCGACACTGAAAATCAGATACCGTGTAGCAGCAAAACCGAT